AAGGCGCGGGAGTGGCGTTGCTATGCACAGGATGCGCTTGACTTCGATATCTCTGGCAATGGCTGTGTGGACGACTGTGGGAACTTCACATCGTGCCGTGGTGCGGTGAATGGCACTTCGTCTACACACCTGTCCCGTGTAGGCCAGCTCACGGACTTCATGAACAGCAACAGAGATTTCTACTGCCTTTCGTCGACGGAGGAAGCGCCTGTTGAATCCGAAGACGTGGACTCCGCTGAAGCGTCTGAGTCAACAACGCTGTCATCCAATCCCACCTCCAACCTCCAGTCAGCCTTGGACAAGGTTTGCGCTGAGGAGGGAAAGAAAGCCTGCGAACAAGGGCTGAAAGCCTACTGCGACGCTGATATGTTCGCACGCCACGACGTCGGAACTGGGAGCCAGAGGAACAGGGAGTGGCGCTGCTATGCGCGGGAGTCGTTGGACTTCGGCATATCTGGCGATGGTTGTGTTGACGATTGTGGAAATGCCACACCGTGCCTTGGTGCGGTAAACGGTACCTCCACTACACACCTCTCTCGTGATGCTCAGGTAGGCTCAGCGATTAACGCAAACAAGGATGAATTCTGCGGACGTGCATCAGAATCACCTGCGGCACCGGAGGAGTCTGTCGAGGTGCAGGAGACGACGGCACCCCCGTCCAGCGGTCCGTCCCAACTGCAGGAGGTCTTGGACAACCTTTGCGCGGAGGAGGGGAGGCGCGCCTGTCAAGGAGGGCTGAGCGCTTACTGCGAAGCTGATATGTTCGCGCGTCACGACATGGGAACTGAACAGCAGCGGACGAGGGAGTGGCGGTGCTATGCGCAGCCTTCCCTAGACTTTGACATATCCGGCGATGGTTGTGTGGACGATTGTGGAAATATCACATCATGCCTTGGGGCGGTGAATGGTACCTCCACTACACACTTATCTCGTAATGCTCAGGTAGCCTCAGCGATTGACGCAAACAAGGGTGAATTCTGCGGACGCACATCGGAATCACCTGCGGCATCGGAGAAAGAGGAGTCTGTCGAGGTGCAGGGGACAACAACAACCTCACCCAGCGGCCCGTTAAGGATGCAAAACTTCGTGGACGAATTTTGTCTGGAGGAGGCAAAGCGCGCGTGCCAAAATGGGCTGAGCGCTTACTGCGACGCCACTGTGATCGCGCGTCACGACGTGGGAACTGAACAGCAGCGGACGAAGGAGTGGCGATGCTACGTGATTGATTCCCTAGACTTCGACCTCTCCGGCGATGGTTGTGTAGACGACTGTGGGAATATCATCTCTTGCCATGGTGCGGTAAACGGCACCTCTACTACACACCTGACCCGGGATGATGCAGTGAACACAGCGATTGACTCGAAGCTAGACGAATTCTGCAATCCTACATCAGAATCCCCTGAGGCATCGGAGAAGAAGGAATCCGTCGAGGTGCCAGAGACAACAGCGCTGCCGTCGAACCCCCCATCAAATCTACAAGCTTTGGCGGATGGGCTTTGTGCTGAGGAGGGGAGAAAAGCGTGCGGACAAGGGCTGCAAGCCTACTG